CAAGGCTACATAAGACAATATTTGGACTTGTCCCCCCTAGCCATGTTCAAGGCTACATAAGACAATATTTGGACTTGTCCTCCTAGCCATGTTCAAGGCTACATAAGACAATATTTGGACTTGTCCCCCCTAGCCATGTTCAAGGCTACGTAAGACAATATTTGGACTTGTCCCCCTAGCCATGTTCAAGGCTACATAAGACAATATTTGGACTTGTCCCCCCTAGCCATGTTCAAGGCTACATAAGACAATATTTGGACTTGTCCCCCCTAGCCATGTTCAAGGCTACATAAGACAATATTTGGATTTGTCCTCCTAGCCATGTTCAAGGCTACATAAGACAATATTTGGTCTTGTCCCCCTAGTCATGTTCAAGGCTACATAAGACAATATTTGGACTTGTCCCCCCTAGCCATGTTCAAGGCTACATAAGACAATATTTGGACTTGTCCCCCCTAGCCATGTTCAAGGCTACATAAGACAATATTTGGACTTGTCCCCCCTAGCCATGTTCAAGGCTACATAAGACAATATTTGGATTTGTCCTCCTAGCCATGTTCAAGGCTACATAAGACAATATTTGGACTTGTCCCCCTAGCCATGTTCAAGGCTACATAAGACAATATTTGGACTTGTCCCCCCTAGCCATGTTCAAGGCTACATAAGACAATATTTGGACTTGTCCCCCCTAGCCATGTTCAAGGCTATGACTTTGAATGTGCATCATTCACCTTCAACCTTTAGTGAAGGTGAATGATGCACCTCCTGAAATCAACATAAACAAACGCCTTACCTAACATGCATAAAACCACAATATATATAATAATTTTCATCAAAAACAACGTTTTTACTGTCATTAAAAACAAAGTTTGTTGTTATACTGTATGGAAGATTCATCCTGTCAGTTGGTTACTAGGTAGGTAAAAAAAAACTGCACTTAGTGAAAACTGTCAGTATTTTACTTATTGCTTGGGCTGGAGGACTTGAAATTGAATTGAAATTGAAATAAGTTTATTGAGGTAAAATACACACAAAGGGATGAGGTAGCTATTCTCACCCCGTTCAGTACATCGTGTTAATACATACATAGACACACATCACAAACAATAAACGTATTACCGAACATTCTGAGAAATAAACATATACATTTCCTGGCTGGAGGACTGGTTGCTATATTTAGTGTTGGTGGAAAACATATGAAGCATGCTTAAAGCCTGACATGGACGCTCCCTTATTTATAGCTTCAAGATCAAATATAACAGTATTGGAATGTTGGGAAGTATAATGTTATCACGTACAGTAGCAAGAAGCTAGCGGGGGCCCTAGAACTAGATCTCATTCCCCGTAGGAACAGCTAGTTGAAGCATACAGGGACAGAATAATAATAAACAGGTAAGAGATGGGACCCAGAACATTGTAGATACAGTAGGCGAAAGGGATAAACAACTTTCATGAAGTCTATATTATTAACTTGTATTTCTCTAACTGGTCGTCAATGCCTTGTGCTCTCCTATATATTCGCCTGAGCAGATGCGTGGCCTTGAGGTCCAGGCAAGTGTGAGAATGTGTTAGGAGAAAGTTTTCCTAGTGTGCTACCTTTCAACAGTCTCTGCTGCTAGCCTCATTATATTTTCCCCCTCCTTCATAGAATACCAGCTGCATTATATACGACTTGGTAATGCTCTTGGACGGACCATTTTTATCTTCTACAATAACACTGCTGTGCTTCCAGTCATTGAACCCCAATGTAGCAAAGGAAATCCAGGACGGACCGAAACGTCGGATCGTCTCTTCATCTCCTACTAGTGTGTGGTTTGGTCACCATATCTTCAGCCACGTTATTGTGACTCATTGTCTGCAGCTGCAATAGTTTTTATGTTGTTATTATTCACAAGCTTAGGTACAGAGCAGTGTGATGCTATCCTGCTCTGTATAGCAACACGCTCAAAATAGCTCTCTTGATTTAGCTCAATAGCTAGCTACTGAATTTATCCATTATTCCCATTTCACTGGAATGTTACTCATACATGGAACTAGTAAAAAAAATGAGAATGGCGTCTGAACTCGTACCAGCAGATGTGAATATAAGACTCCCATGCCAGCAGGAGACGTGAGTAATGAGTATAGACTCATAGCAGCAAAGGTGGAAGGGGAGGAGGTATGAGCAGATAGTGTAAAGAAAACAAGAGAATGTTAAGGAACTCCAAGTTGGGGATAAACTTGGCATGATAAATATCTGATACCGTGTAAAGGAAGAAATGTATATGTGATGTATCTATATATGTACGAACACGTTGTACCGAACGGGGTGAGAATAGCTTGAGCTACCTCATCCCTTTGTGTATATTTATACCTCAATAAAAATATTTCAATACCTAATATCGGGAATGGAAGGTGTAGGACTTGGAGAGCAAGTATATAAGGTTAAAGATCAAGCAGGCTCCCGCACAGAGCTCAGGAATCTGTACATCATTTGATTGACAGTTGAGAGGCGGGACCAAATAGCCAGAGCTCAACGCTCGTAAGCACACCTAGGTGAGTACATCTCCTGCGCCAGGTAAGTACGGCGGGCTCACCATAGCCCGTGCTGCTTGAAACTTTGTGTTCAGTGTAGCTGAATCTAAAACAACAACAGTAGGCACTTATTTTTTAACAAATCTACTAATTTGTAACAAATTTAAGCAAATTTTTGAACAATCTATTTTTGTTTGGCCTGTATACACTGTGCAAGTGGGGGATGCAGTGCTAATTTCTCCTTAAATCTGGGAGATGATGATGATATGTTCCATGGACATTTTCTTCGTTTCTGGTGATAAGTTCAACATTATAAACACGACGCGTTGCTCGACTAGGCTGCTGCATTATAATGCTGGCACCATAGTCATAAGTCCTCTAATTAAATCTCACGATAGCTATTGTACGTAGACTGTCATAATTACCGAGACGCGCTGTGTACATACACCCTTGCCGGTGTGAGCTTGTTATTTGCTGTTCTGCGCCCTTCTATGAGGGTGTTTATTGTAGCTTATGCTTTGTGCAATACCTCCTATTGACTTAACCTGTCCTCAGGCAAGGCTCGTTCAAGCGGCGGCCGACACCTCCCTTCCCCCCCATTCCAAAGCACATTTCATAAATTTTGATGTTATGTGTAATAAATAAGCGTTTTTTTCTCGTGTATAAATTAATATTATACATTATAGTATTTTATATACTGTAGATTAGGTTGGGTGTCTAAGTTCTGTTGACGATTATTTGCATTTGAAGTACATGGCTAAAGCATTTACAGTTACGATTCGAACAGAAGGTGTAAACGATGCATTGTTCAAGAACTGTTCGAACGTAATTTATTTATATACAAGCCCGTCCTCCAAACAAAGACTCTAAAGTGATTCCATGCACCCGCCAAACCCCATGTTTATAAATGAAAAACGTTTTACACACGACTCACAACTGATGACGTTCTAACACTTCCGGAATAAATGCTTCACTGACGACTTTTGTTAGAACCACAACGCTATAAATGCTTCACCCACGTACTACAAATACAAATAATCGCCAACAGAACCTAAACACCTAACCTAACCTATGCCTACCCGCCAAACACACACCGAAACTACGACGTTGGTACAACGTTCGAACAAGTTTTAACACCTCCTAACCAGTTATAACAACCAATATAGCAAGTTGTAACAACGTTCTAATACGTCATAAACACGTTAAGCCAAGATGTGACAACTTTATAACAAGTTGTAACAAGCGGAAAATAGAGACAGTTTCGGTTTGTGTTTCCAGGGTATATATGCACAATATGCTAATATAAAATGATATTAATTTATATTTGAGAAAATTCGCGTTTTAAATGAACACCATGTAAAAATTTATGAATGAGTCTGTGGGGTCGACCGCTGGATGGAATGGACTTGAGTCGAGGACGGGTTGTGTGTAATTTTTTTTTCATTCATAAACAGGGGGTTTGACGGGTGCATGGAATCACTTTTGGGTCATTGCTTGGAGTACGGATTGAATATTAAAATGGAATGGACTTGAGTCAAGGACAGGATGGATGTTTTCTGTTTGCCACACCTCGGGAGAACCTTGAACATTGTTCCGGCACGAACATTGCGCATCATAGCGACATGCATTATTAAAAGTAACTATGTTGAAGAGAGAGAGACGATTACTTTTCTCACGGTTTAAGAGCCTACTCGGAACAGCAGCTGGCGTGCTAGTTCAGTTCTGTTGCTACTACTCTTGTGGGCCATCTTCCTAAAACGATAGTACACTTATAGCAACCATATTTAGTCGGATATACCAAATAAGAAACTTGTGTGCCATTTATCATATATGTGTGGGTTTATTTAGCTAACCGGATATTTAATGTTAATCCGGTTTAGCTAATTATAGGGTTCGACAATGAATCTTAATTAGTAAATATATGTCATCTTGCGAAATAGTTTTTTTTATTAAACTAGGTTGTAAGTGTTAATTAGTTTAAATGAAAAGTAGCCTAATTAAAAGGATTGAAACACGGAAGTGGGAACTTAATTGACTATAAAATAGGCTTCAAGTACACCACATTCCTCTGAAAGTCTTGTTATAGGATTATAACACTATATTCAACTGTGAAATTATGTTCAGTGTTATTATCAATATGTTGGGCGGACGGGAACTGTTATTTCACCGCTGTTGGTGTTATTATGTTTAATTAATTGTGGGTATATTCACGCAGTACGAGAGTTCCAACACGTCCAGCTAGTTCCCACCGGCCGAGAGTTGGCTGTCGGGCGTATGAGGTGACCCACCTGTAGAGTGGCTGAAAAGTTGAAAGCTCATTTGACTTTTGTTTCATTTGCCCCTAATACATACATTAACTCTCTTAACAAGCTCTTGGAGACAGTTACATTGATTTATAATGAACTGAACGATGGAAAGGAGGATAAAAGAGTGGTTATGGGTGATGATCTCTAGGTGACATGAGAGGAAAAACAAAACAAAAGTCAACAGGTGAAAAGGCCACAGATGGGTCGTGTCAACAGGCAGTCGCCGTGTGTGCGTCGTGAGGTGAGGACGTGTGTTGCGTGTGTGCTCTCTGTACTCTGGCACCATTGTGGTACTCTGCTTGCTGCAATTGCTTACTGTGCAAGTCCATTGTAAGTGTGTGGCAGTTCGTCCGTTAAACTTGGAAAACGAGCGGTTGTAAAGCTGAAGTGAGAGTGATTTTGACGGGATAATAGGGTTTTAAGTGAAAATTAATTGATATGTGATGCAGAAAAAGGGTAGTATAGTACTAACAATCTTGAACCATCTTAAGAATGCTAACAAGGCGAACATGGACGGAATAGTGTATTTAATACACTACGGCAATACTTATGTTCGAACCGGCGCCCCTGTAAGCTACCCCTCCCGCCCCTATTTTATATACACCGATTTTCACTATTTATACAGGCTATACCGTCGATTTAGAATGATATATATATATATATTAGTTGATAGAATAATGTTATATAGCATATAAATTCGTGTATAAACGTTGGAAAGAACTATAATTGTTTCCCAGAATAGCCATTGAACTACACAATTACATTATTACAGACCCACAACCTTAGTAATTTAGACTATAGAAGGGTCCATAATACACTAATTAAAGTAGGTGTAACTTGGCAAAATATATTTAAGATCAGCTGGTTCTCTGATACAGCATCACAGTTGGAAACCAATGGCCAGAAACCGGTTTAATACTAGGAAAAATTTTATAACGTGGAAAGTCAAATGGAGTGACTAAGCCAGACAATTAAGTCAGAGCTAAGGTAGGAATTCCCTGCTGACAGAGTGACATCACTCAGATGATATTTTCCTCTTCCTCTGAACGTCCTAAATGTTTCCAGCGTCTTGCTGTTAACAACTCTTGTTGATTGACTGTAGTCTCATTTAATTGTTATTTTCCAGTGGTTGAATGGGTTAAAATGGAGATACCATATATATATATATATATATATATATATATATATATATATATATATATATATATATATATAATATATGACAGTGTCAGACCACGGAGGAAAATTGAAACAGGAATTTCCTTTAGTACTTTCGTATATTAATACATATATTCACTCCTGAAGATAAATACGAAAGTACTTAAGGAAATTCCTGTTTCAATTTTCCTCCGTGGTCTGACACTGTCATATGTATATATGTTAATATCGCCCCATATCGAACCTTTTCAAAGCTGTAAGAGAATGATTCTGGCTGTTTTTTTTTAAATATAGTTTACACGTGTTTACACTTTTTGTTGGCAACTGAGGGATTATAGGTAAACTGGCTCTATGAAAGTTTACAGCCTCGTTAAGTTAGGTTAGGGTACACTCCATATATTATCATAATTGTCTACAACTTGCGTTTATTATTATTACTTTTGTATTGTCTAGTGTGGTCAAGTAATTTTTGTTATTACACGTGTAAATACAGTATTATTTAAAACAAGAAAACATCACATTTCGTGAATAAACGTCACTAGTACATATATCTTTGAAATGCATTAGTTTTTGTTCCAGATAATGTATAGATTACTTCAGAGAGAGCCTACATATACATGATTCTTACCCATATAGCCTATATTAATCACGATTCTTACCCTTATAGCCTATATTAATCACGATTCTTACCCTTATAGCCTATATTAAACGCGATTCTTACCCTTATAGCCTATATTAAACACGATTCTTACCCTTATAGCCTATATTAAACACGATTCTTACCCTTATAGCCTATATTAAACACGATTCTTACCCTTATAGCCTATATTAAACACGATTCTTACCCTTATAGCCTATATTAAACACGATTCTTACCCTTATAGCCTATATTAAACACGATTCTTACCCTTATAGCCTATATTAAACACGATTCTTACCCTTATAGCCTATATTAAACACGATTCTTACCCTTATAGCCTATATTAATCACAAATCTTACACTTATTGACTACATAAATACGATCCTTACCCATATATATATATATATATATATATCAGCCTACGTAAGCAGGATGCTTGCCCGGATACTCGTGGCTCGCCCAATGGTGTTATTCCCATGAAATTTGGTTAACCCACCTAGGCGCAATGTTTTCCCATTTTCAGGGACAGGAAGCTTGTCTGTCAGGCATGTCGATGTGTCACTAGCCAACGTCCGGCCATTTTCTACAATGAAACCCACCTTCCTAACAATTAACCAAGTCTCGGGGTTCTTATTTACTGCTAGATGAGAATGTTTTTTGAATATTAGGAAATGCTGTATGTTCAAACGTCTTGCTATGCCGAGGAAGAAGAATAATCAGAGATTATTCAAGGGTCTGACCCCGCTAAAGTTTCTGTCCCAGTCTTTGCTGCATCCGCGGAACTGAATTTCTGAAAGGATTTTGAACGCCCCTAAATAAGAATTTAGTTGACTCCTTTTGAACGTCATATTAGACTGACAAACGTACAGATTTCGGAGTAACATTAATTATTCGTATACTAAGCCGCTTCAGTAAACTTTGCGAACATAATTTATTTGACAATATGCAATAATCAAGTATTTAGAATATTATTAAATACAAGTAAGGAAGTATTTTATCTTTAAATAAAAGAACTATATACCATATTTAAGCATGCAAATTATTTGTATAGGGCCCATAGAATTACCCAAATCCAACAAAAACTATTTCATACTTTCTCCATGCCACTTCATAACATTATAGTGAAGATAAGAATCCTAGTCCAATAATGAATGGTGACTAGGTTTTTTTTCTGTTTAATCCTGTACTTCAAAAGTACAGAAACACCAGATGACACTTAATTTACAGACTGTATGATACTGTGCTTCTTATATGTAACTGAATGATGTTGAAATTGAAATAAGTTTATTGAGGTAAAATACACATAAAGGGATGAGGTAGCTCAAGCTATTCTCACCCCGTTCAGTACATCGTGTTAATACATACATAGATACACATCACAAGCAATAAACGTATTACCGTTCATTCTGAGAGATAAATACATACATTTCCTCCTTTACACAAGTAGTATGGTATCAGACGTACACACAAATACTTTTATGACCTAGGTATACTGTATAGACAATTTTGAATGATGTTAGTATACAATTTGTATCGCTCTAGGGCTGAAATTTCATTACTCAGCGTAGGGCATCGACTCCGTCGCCACTCAGTGACGTGGAGTGACTGTTATCACCCACCTACCCTTACTGCTGCAGTACTCTACTCACCTAGTGAGTATAAGGCAACAAGGTGTGAATGAAACTTGAAATCGCGCAGCAAATGTAAATTTAATTGCCTTGATGTTATTCTATGCTGCTGTTGTCCCCATGTTTTACTAGGCTTCGTGCCTTATGATATTTTATCAGTCTGAGCAATCGATGTCAAGACCAATATTGTGTGTGTGTGTGTGTGTGTGTGTTTACTATTTGTGGGTGCAGGATCGAGATGTTAGCTCTGGGATTCCAGCTCTCGAACCGTCCGCTGTCAAATGTGCTGAAACCCGACTTATATTTATTCATATTTATTTTATAACTCCTAAATATACTTTACATACGCGCGCGCGCGCACACACACACATGCTTTTTATGTGATATACTTTTGAGAATCATAATCAGTGCCCCGAGGGACGCCAGCACTGTGCCCCGAGGGACGCCAGCACTGTGCCACGAGGGACACCAACATAGTACCCCGAGGGACGCCAGCACTGTGCCCCGAGGGACGCCAGCACAGTGCCCCGAGGGACGCCAGCACTGTGTCCCGAGGGACGCCAGCACTGTGCCCTAGGGACGCCAGCACAGTTCCCCGAGGGACGCCAACACACTGCCCCGAGGGACGCCAACATAGTACCCCGAGGGACGCCAGCATAGTACCCTGAGGGACGCCAGCACTGTGCCCCGAGGGACTTGCTTAGTCACGACATTTAATGACCCGTGGTGTGCGGAGCTCTCGCTCAGCTGGTGGGGGAAGCAGGACTGGTTATGTCACGATTTGATTTCTCAGTTTGAAAGTTTTTATCCAACTTGACCATCAACTAACATTCCAGTCCTTAGCCAATGTTAAAGACATGGACTCATCCTTTGAGGCGAGTATGGTATCCCGGCATGTTACATTCACAGCATATGGGACATGATGTAACAAATTATTTCAATGATGATTTTCCAGACTGGGTTAAAGAACAGGGAATGATTTATTGACGGAATATAACTACACTCGATATATATATATGTATTCTATGACGTGTTGCCTTGTGTTAATCCTGAGGCTCTCTCCCTTTCCTTACTAAGTCAACTGTGTAGAATGAGAGTTGACTTACTTCTGGGATGATTGTTGTTGCTCTGTGTTGAACCTTTTCCAAAGCATGTCTGTGCCTGTGAATGTTATGTCTCCATGTATGGATACAGTGACGCGGACGGGGGGGGGGACACGTTGGATATTTGTACAGCTCATCTAATTTATTTTAATTATGTTACTTATATTTTAAGTATGAAGATATACGCCTTCATACTTATCAATTTATCTACCTTCCCAGCTCTACGTCTATATATATCACTTCTCTATGCGTCTACCAGCATAGGGTTTGCATCGTCTGTAAATATTATTATGTACGAATCTACCTTCTGCTGGAGGTCATTTACGTACATAAAGAACAGGGGCCAGATTCACGAAAGCACTTACGCAAACACTTACGAACCTGTACATCTTTTCTCAATCTTTGGCGGCTTTGTTTACAATTATTAAACAGTTAATGAGCTCCGAAGCACCAGGAGGCTGTTTATAACAATAACAACAGTTGAATGGGAAGTTTTCATGCTTGTAAACTGTTTAATAACTGTAGTCCTGTCTGTTAGATACTCTCAAGTCCAGACCAATTTCTTCAGTTACCCAGCCTGTTTTCCTAGTTTGTCAGCCTTTTGTGATTCACAAATGCCTTTTAGGCAATCTAGAAAGATGCAATCCACCCATTTACTCTCCTGTTGTATCTTGGTATGTGTGCTTTGTTCCCATAAGGTCGCCGGGGGCTAGAAATAGCCTAAGCTACTTATCCCTTTGTGATGTATTTCTTTCTTGTCTCCATAAGCATACTTGAACTTGAATCCAAGGTTGCCCACAGGTAGCGGAAGCCACTCTCCAGCAGACTTCCTACTGCTGTTGGTCGTTATCTTATCCTACATTTTCCACCTTATCCCCCCAAAATCATCACGGTTACCTTGCGATGATTTTGGGGCCAAAGGTCCCCGCGACCCGGTCAGGGTTGCTGGACTGGTTAACCCGACTGTCTGACTATGAATCACAGCCTTGGTTGATCAGATATCCTTTGGAGGTGTTTATCACGTTCTCTTGAACACTGTGAGGGGTCGTTGGGAGTTGTTATCGTATCCAGCCATAAGTGTGCTGTCTTGCCGTGCTGTAACCTTGGGTTTGCTTCTAACCGCGGAAGGGAAATGTTAGTCCCTTATCCTGCAAATATTACCACGGTGTGTAAATGTGTATAGCCACGCTCATACACACACTCGAGTTTTCTGACACACAGACGTGTGTATACATGTACATGTCTGTGTGTATGTGTCTTAGACGCAATTATCATGGCGTGTATATCAACATACATGACTACATGCTTCTCGTTACACAGCTCTGGAGAAAATCCAAGGTAGTGCAAGAGTTCTAGTTCTTATGAGGATAAGAAGTAGAGTAACATGATCACGACGTTCGAAAATACTTAAGAAAATCGACAGAGTAGGTTAGGTAGAACATGCTACATGACATAGGATGGGCACCAACGAGGGCACAGTTGGAAACTGAGTACCCAAATGAGCCACATGCATGAACTTCGGAACAAAGTAAGGCAAACAGATGTCACAGACGGTGGGAAACGGCTCTGGCTAGGCAGCATGTCTGCCACATGCACTGAACTCTTAGCCATTTAATGGAACACCATCCTTATTGTCAGAACTGCATTGTTCGACTTAAAGTTGTACACCTCCTTGTAGAATGTCGAGACTGTACAGGAGCGTTCTCCTTCCCTAATTAAAAGGGAATTATTCCTTTTATTTCTTCTCGTGTTGGCATCTTGAGTGATATTTAGCGTCTTGTTGAATATTTGACACTGATGATGCTACATGGTCTTAGATCCGTCTTTTGATAATCACATAGTTCCTTCATACACAGATTCAAAAGTGTAGAACCCTTTCCAAAGGGTTCAAGAACATGTACCTTAGTTGATTAACGTTCGATAGTAGAGACCCCAAGAGCTGCAGCTTGACCTTCCATAAGCACAACATGATGATGGGTACACAATGTTGATTGACGGTTGAGAGGCGGGACCAAAGAGCCAGAGCTCAACCCCCGCAAGCACAATTAGGTGAGTACACACACACACACACACCAAATATCTTACAGTAAATTATGTTATATTTCACATATTATTATTATTTCTCTTTTCAGGAATGTAACATAAACGAAAGAAAAAAATATATGTGAAAATTGCAGTGTTAAAAACAAAACAAATTAAAACAGAAACGTCACATTTTAACAGTAATAAAAAATGTTAGTATATGAAAATCTACCAATAATTGAAAACCCAAAACATTGTGTATAGAAAGATAAGAATTGCAAGGAAGTAGTAGTGTGGATAATTATTTTATCGGCGGCGTGGTGACGCTAGGCTCCGGAGGGGCGTGATGGAGAATCCTGCCTTCGTCAGCGATGGGTCGACTCTACAGCAGCAGCCAGGAGCTACGGGAGGTGAGTATACTTTACCCTGTATCTCTATACCTCCGGTTTACATCTCTTCATCTCTGGTGTGCATTTGACGGGGGGGGGGTTAATCCGCTATATCTGTGGTTTATAGTCTACATTTGAGAGGTTTAGACTGCTTCAACGGTCGTTCGTACCTCTACATTTGGGGTTTACATTACTAGACCTCGGGCTAGATTCACGAAGCAGTTACGCAAACACTTACGAACCTATACATCTTCTCTCAATCTTTGGCGGCTTTGTTTACAATTATTAAACAGTTAATGAGCTCCGAAGCACCAGGAGGCTGTTTATAACAATAACAACAGTTGATTGGGACGTTTTCATTCTTGTAAACTGTTTAATAAATGTAACCAAAGCCGTCACAGATTGGGGAAAGATGTACACGTTCGTAAGTATTTGCGTAACTGCTTCGCGAATCTGGCCCCTGATTTACACAGCTTCACCTGTGCTTTACATCTATTAATTTTTCTTTGAAAATGTAAACAAACTGTATTTACATAGGAATAAAGGATTGTACATAAGGTCTGTAAATATAGCCTTATGTACACTTATGTAGACCTCAAAGCCTCATGAAACCCAGCAAGAGTATTTGCCTTGTCCGTACTTACCTTGGAGAGAGTATATAGGGCCGAACTTCAGCTCCTGAGCCAGGATTCGACAAACATTTACGCATGCACGTACGAAAGATGTACATGTTTCACCAATCGAGCTCAGAAGCATTATGAGGTTGTTTAAAACAGTAGTAACCTTGGATCGCGAGTTCCAAAGCTCGTAAACGGGTTAATACCTGTAAATAAAGCGACTGGGATTACTAGAAGATGCACAGGTTTCGTAAGGGGTTGGATAAAGGCTTAATACGACTCCTGGCCTTGATACCTGGTTGATGGGGTTCTGGGAGTTCTTCTACTCCCCAAGCCCGGCCCGAGGCCAGGCTTGACTTGTGAGAGTTTGGTCCACCAGGCTGTTGCTTGGAGCGGCCCGCAGGCCCACATACCCACCACAGCCCGGTTGGTCCGGCCCTCCTTGGAGGAAACAATCTAGTTTCCTCTTGAAGATGTCCGCGGTTGTTCCTTACCTTGAGGTTACCTTGAGGTGCTTCCGGGGCTTAGCGTCCCCGCGGCCCGGTCGTCGACCAGGCCTCCTGGTTGCCGGACTGATCAACCAGGCTGTTGGACGCGGCTGCTCGCAGCCTGACGTATGAATTATTTCCTGTAATATTTCTGATGCTCGCTGGTAGGACGTTGAACAGCCGTGTTCAACGTCCTACCAGCGTTTTTCCTGGATGTGTTTGTAAACTGCATGTAAGTTTTCCCAACTTACATGCCAGTTGGGAAAATTATTTGGGAAAATTGGGGGAGTGGGGGTTGGGGTTTGAACGTGTCCTTATTTTGTCCTGTCCTAGTTTTTACCAGTGTTGCATATGCTGCTGCTGATATGAGTTTATTTGTGTGCCACCAGAGATTTGTCGTTGCGTCTACTTTATGATCGTTTTATTTCCATGAAGTTGGTAGGTTCCTCCCTTTATTTATTTATTTATTTATTTATTTATTTATTTATTTATGCATATACAAGAAGGTACATTGGGAATGTGAGGATACATAAAATGGTAATTACAGTCTTGTAAAGCCACTAGTACGCGCAGCGTTTCGGGTAGATTGTATATACTTTCATTGTATATAGTTTCTCTGGCCTCTGTACCCAAGTCACCATCATCATCATAACCTTGCACTTATCCGAATTGAAGTCTAGTAGCCATTTATCCAATCACTTCTGTAATTTATCGAAAGTTTTTCCTCCTGGAGCTTCCTATTGGCCTCACTTGTCCTGATTTACCTAATCGACTTCACGCCCCCAGTAAGCAATCAGTGCTAGAAGAAGAAGATCTAGTTTATCGCATTCACAGATTGGGAAAGATTGGAGCCGGTCAGCCGAGCGGACAGCACGCTGGACTTGTGATCCTGTGGTCCCGGGTTCGATCCCGGGCGCCGGCGAGAAACAATGGGCAGAGTTTCTTTCACCCTATGCCCCTGTTACCTAGCAGTAAAATAGGTACCTGGGTGTCAGTCAGCTATCACGGGCTGCTTCTTGGGGGGTGGAGGCCTGGTCGAGGACCGGGCCGCGGGGACACTAAAGCCCCGAAATCATCTCAAGATAACCTCAAGAATACCCGTGTCAGCCAGGGACCAGATTCGCGAAGCAGTTACGCAAGAACTTACGAACCTGTACATCTTTCCTCAGCCTTTGACGCCTTTGGTTACATTTATTAAACAGTTTACAAGCATGAAAACTTGCCAATCAACTGTTGTTATTGTTATAAACAGCCTCCTGGTGCTTCGGAGCTCATTAACTGTTTAATAATTGTAAACAAAGCCGCCAAAGATTGGAAAAAAGATGTACAGGTTCGTAAGTACTTGGTTACTGCTTCGTGAATCTGGCCCCCTGATAAGTACTTGCGTAACTGCTTCGTGAATCTGGCCCCTGATCAGTCATATGCCAATTATCCACCTATTACTCACCCTGTGTCTCTCAGGTCCCTGTGTCACATAACGGGCTCAGGGATTAAACATTGACTTAGCTGAAAGTAAACTTGAGCAATGCTATTAAATTTGGTACAGAGCCTAACAATACAATTCCATACTGACTCGGGTACTAAGACAAGCGTATAATTTGTTTTCAAGTTACAAAGGTAATACAGTTGTAAGTTACAGGGTAACATTAGGTAAACGAGAAACTTGAAGCCAATGTGAGCTTACAGACAACATTTGAAATTGAAATAAGTTTATTGAGGTAAAATACACACAAAGGGATGAGGTAGCTCAAGCTATTCTCACCCCGTTCAGTACATCGGGTTAATACATACATATTCACACATCACAAACAATAAACATATTACCAAACATTCTGAGAGATAAACATACACATTTCCTGACAACATGTGCGGCAGCTGAAGTTAGGAAACGGTAAATTAGTTTATTAGTTGTATAGTTACCTTGAGGTGCTTCCGGGGCTTAGTGTCCCCGCGGCCCGGTCGTCGACCAGGCCTCCTGAGTTATGAAGTATATGTGAATATTTTGGTGACAAGGTTTACGTTTGGTGAGATCTTCATATCAGCTGATGCCCCCCACTTGTAATCGAAGCTAAGCCTAATGGTGATAATGTTCTGCTTGTTCTGCTTGCCATTATATCCGTTCTAACTACCCCCCCCCCCTTATATCTTCACATATCCTCATATCATGTCACGATACCCCCCCCCACCACATTCCCACTACGGTCCACCCCTCTACCGCTTGTATCGTCTTTTTCCTGGATGTGTTTGAGGTTAGTAAGTGGTGTAAATAAAGGAGCGGGGAGTGTGTGTAAGGCAGTGGTGAGTGTATTGATACCGGGGAAGGTGGTGGAGGCTGGCTGACTGGCTGGCTGGTGGAGAAAGTTGTTGTGGCATGCAACCCCCCCCCCCCCCCTTCCTCCTCCACTCCCTCGCTCTTCCCCCCCGCCATCCCTCCTCCACTCCCTCACTTCCCCCCCCCACCATCCCTCCTCTTCCCCAACGCCGTCTATATTATTCTATCCATGTCCTTTTTCGTTCCATCCCCCACGTCACCACCTTCCCTATCCTCTTCTATCGCCACCTTACAATCTTCCATTGCTTCCCTAACCCCCTATCCTTCCTCTACCCAAATATCTATCTCCCCATGCCACCCCTCACAGGCCTTCTATCCCTACCTTACTGTAACCCCCCCAACCCCCATCTCCTGACCCCACGCCCTCTTGGTGGATAACATAAATTCACGTCAGGGACAGAGAGACTAACACGGGAGACATTTCCCGTCACGCAGGGTGCAGTCGCACCTCCGTAGATCTCCAGTATCAGCTCTTGATACTGGTAATGGCTCAAAAGAGCCACCACTTACGGGCTATTCATGCCCGTGCCACCTTTTAGGTGGCTTAATCTTTATCAATCAATCAGAGAGACTAAACAAAGCAAAAACAGCCTTAGGAAAACTGAGGCTAATCCTTAACACAACATTCTGTTTGTGTTAAGGTTATTGAGCTCAGGAACCTGTACATCAGTGGATTGACCGTTGAGAGGCGGGACCAGAGAGCCGAAGCTCAACCCCCGCAGGTACACCTAGGCGAGTTCCGTTGGCTTCGTTCTCGACTCGCAATCGGGGGATCCCGGGGTGGATTCTCGGGCAGGACAGAAGTGGTTGGGCACGTTTTCTTTCACTAAATGGCTCTGTTCACCTAGTAGTAAATAGGTACCTGGGAGTTGATACGAGCCTCCAGAAATTACAGTACTTTTTGCATCTTTTTTTATAAGTGAGAAAATAAAGCTAAATATTCTTTAGGTCTAGGATAGCACGCATATGTACTATATTAGGCCTAAGATAGCGTGTATTAGGCCTAGGGTTGCTAGGAGAAGTTAGGTCTTATTATTTATGTAGCTGATAAAAAGTTTCAGATATATAATATATATATATATATATATATATATATATATATATATATATATATATATATATATATATATATATATAATGTGTGTGTGTGTGTATATCACGAAAATAAACACGTGATTAAGAATGTGACAATGTTGCATCGTATTTTTTTATAAGTGAAAGAGGAAATTTCCTTAATATACTTTCGTCTAGGATAGCACTACATCTTCAGATTAGGTCCTTCTGAAGATGTATTTAATGCTACGAAAGTTACTTATTATTTATGTTCCTGATTTCATTTTTCAGATATATAATCTGACATTATCATATATATATATATATATATATATATATATGCGAACAAGCCTGAATGGTCCCCAGGACTATATGCGAATGAAAACTCACACCCCAGAAGTGACTCGAACCCATACTCCCAGAAGCAACGCAACTAGTAACTACAGGGCGCCTTAATCCGCTTGACCATCACGGCCGTCAAAAGGAAGTGATAGCCGAGGCTATTTGAGCCACTTCCCCGACGGCAACTCG